AGGCGGGGAATCAAACTCATGAGGAAGCGGCTTTAGATTCTCAGTGCTGTGCTTTAACCCGCTGCGCCACCAGGGAGGGCCAGGAAAAAGTCATTTTAACCTTGTAGGATGATAACTGGCACCAGAAAGTTTTGTTTTGTTTTGTTTTCTTCATATTTTGCCAAGGGATTAACTAGAAAGTTGCAGTAGAGGGCAAAGAGGCATAGAGTTAAAACTTTCTAGTAAATATCCCAATTTTTTCCTTGACTTTCTTGGGATAGAAGTCCACACTCAATTCCAAAGCAAGAAAGTATTTATTTGAATCAACTTCTACTGTCTGCTGTTCATAAGTTAGACTGGGTTGTTAAGATGGTAATACACTAAATTGATGTAATGATTCAATGTTATCCTTATCAAAAATTCAGCTGCTATTCTTTTTCAAAGTTGATGTGCTGATTCTAACAATTACACGTAATTGCAAAGGATGCAGAAAAATCAAAACAAAATTAAAAGGAATATAGGAGAAAAGCTATGTGAGTTGTATTAGACAGTTTTATCTATAACACCAAAACACAAGCAACAAATGAAAATCTAAATTGAACTTCATTAAAATTTAAAACTTTTGTTCTTCAAATGATACATGAAGAAGGTAAGGAGAGTCCACAGAATGGGGGACGAGTGAAAATCATGCATCTAATAAACATTTTATATAAAGAATATTTTAGGAACTCTAATCTCTATTGTAACAAGAAACAAAATTACAGATATTTCTCCAAAGAAGATATACAGATGTCTCAAATCACTTGAAATGATGCTCAGCATTTGTGATTAGGGAAACATAAACCCCAAAACCCTTCCTAATCTAGGGTGGCAACATTTTTTTAAAAGGGATAACAACAGCTGGTTGTTAAGTAGGTAAGAATTCGGAGAAATTGGAACTAGTATATTGCATATTGGAATGAAAATTATGTGGACCTTTGAAGGCAGTGCAGCAGTTCCTCAGAATGTTCAAATGGATTGGCATGTGACCTAACACTACTGCCCCTAGGTATGCACCCAGGAAAATTACCAGCAGAACTTCTTGATTTTAGCAGCATCGGATCATAATAGAACATTATTTCAGCTCTTCATAGCATCAATTTTCATAATAGGCAAAAGTATAAATAGGAAAGATGTGCATCAAGAGATTGAATGGGGAAACAACACAGGGGCTGTGCGTACCCTGGAACATTATTTGGCTATAGAACAAAATGAAACACTAACATATACTAAAGCAGGATGCTGCTCTAGAACATCATGTTAAGTGATAGCAACGACATATGTTAATAATTCTATTATATAGAGTGTCCAGAATAGGCAGATCCTTAGAAAACAGAAAGGATGTAATTACCACCAGTGTTTGAAGAAGGGGGCCAAGAAGAATGGAAAATATGGTTAATGGGAATGGGGTTTCTTTGGGGGAGGTAATTTGAAATTGTTCTAAAATTTGATAGTGATGATGGTTGCAAAAATTCTATGACTAAACTAAAAATGATTGAATTGTACTTCTTAAAAGGATGATTTTAGGGCCCTCTGTGGCGCTGTGGGATAAAGCACAGCAATAAGAAGCTAAAGCCACTTTAGCATGAGTTTGATCCCACCCCTGAGGTGACCCATAATGGAGCTGCAGACCTCTCCTGGCCCACCCACTGCTCCCTTCAGCAGTGTATTTCATCAAGTCGGCCTGTTTTGCTCCCCATTCTGTCTCTGGTGAATCCTCTCACCCCCTGCACCTCTGGCCTGTACCCCAATTCTGTATGCGTAAATAAATCTTTTTTTTTAAAGGATGATTTTAATGCTCTGTAAATTGTATCTTAATGAAATTTTGTAATATAAGAGTAGGTCTTGAAGCCCCAGTCAAGCCAGAAAGGATTGTTTTACAGCTCCAGAATCATGAGAGATTCTACCTAAGAACTGCCCCAATTAAGTGACTGTTTAATCCTGCTCACAGCTACAAGAGATAATGTTCATTTATTTTTTTAAAAGATTTATTTATTTGTGCATACAGAACTGGGGTACAGGCCAGAGACTCAGGGGTGGCGACATATCTCACCAGAGACAGAGTGGGGAGCAGAACAAGGCAGATCGACGAAGTACACTGCTGAGGGGAGCAGCGGGCGGGTCAGGAGAGGTCTGCCACGCCATGTGGTCACCTCCGGGGAAGGCGGGAATCGAACTCATGCGGAAGTGGTTTCAGCTTCTTAGTGCAGGGCTTTAACCTGCTGCGCCACCAAAGAGGGCCTCATTTATTTTTTAATCAGTGAAATTTTGGGATTTACCAGACTGCATTTGTTCTATATCTCTTGTTCATTTATCCATTAACATACCCAAATAATCTCTTTCTGCTATATGCTTAATTTATAGAGGACTAGTCATATCATTCCCCTTCAAGGGAGCTCCCTCTAGTGTAAGAGACACAAATAAGGAAGTCAATTATTTTGACATAAATGCAGTCATAAAAGCCCTGTCATGAGCAGTAGTCACAATTTGTTAATTTGTCTACCTATTTTTATAACCTGACTAACCCTCTCTTTCTTCTCTGTAACCATATATCTAACCCTTCATCATAATATGAATGTGCAAAAGCTTTCAAAGACATCTTTTAAGATTTGGCACCTTAAACTAAAAAGCATTCTCTACCCTTATAAACTTTCTTCCCTTTCTTTATCATGATAGAGAGAAAAGTATATATATTTTAAAAATCTAAAACCTTCATAAAACCATCAAAACTCCTACATGAAATGTTACAGTCTAAAATTAGATATGTGTGTGTATATATATTTTACTCAATAAACTATGACTACTTGAATTATGATGCAATGTCTTTTTTCTTCAAGTTATTGGTGTACAATCTCTTAAGTACAACCTCTTATCTCACATATTGCCTTTTTATTGTTGCTGAAACAATGCCTTTATATCCACGAATGCTCTGCTTACACGTGTGGTTGTCGATAATGTATCTTCCTCCATGTGGTTTGTTGTTTGAGTGAAATATAAGTCCAGTACTCATAATGCTAGTGTGACTGTTTGTGAGGAGTAGTGTATCTTCAGAATTACTGTTAGTGTAAAGTTCCAAAGATTAACACAGAACTGATGTCTTACATAAATGCTTTCTCGAATCCATGCTCTCCTCTACAGTATATCCAGCTTAACATTGCCGATGTTCTGGGCCATAGGACCTCTCTGACCCTCATCTGTCCTGGTAATAGAGTGTTTATCGTTTTAGAAATTAAGTAGCTCATTTTAGTTTCTGTGGGCTGAAGATTATCTCAGCATCAAAGTCGCAAGCAAAGTAAGAATTCCAGATTTATTTTCCTACACTATTACAATTAGACTTTTGACAGAAGTAACCACGCCAAGTAACATTTTTCCCCCACGGGCTATGCTTTCTTTTATTTTTATTGTCATCAGGGGGTGCAAGCAAATTCAGTATCTTAAAGCTCATACATCACCACCTGTCAGTGGCACCTTTCCTTTGGTATCCCTTTTCCTAGCTGACTTAAAACACTCAGTCCCAAAAGCTATGGTTGAGCAGCAGGGAGTTAAATGATCTATTCCAAAGTTCTTAACATATTACCTAGTGTAAATGGCCCATTTGAGTATTTCTGAAACCAAAAGGGAAAGAAAAGAACATTGAAAGCATTGAAAAGATTAACACCTGTTGTTAGTCTTCAAAGAAATTAAAGTATTCTGCACATGTAGATCCTGAGGAAAACTGTTCACACACTTATCTTGAGATGTTCTAAAAAATTTAATTCTATATGCATAGCATCTGCATGCTTATGGGTTTGTTTCATTACAGAATTCCACACAGAACTTAGAAGAAAGAGAAGTTGTAAATGGCGTACAGACAGAACTGACATCCCCAAAATCTAAGGATGCATTGAGGTACTCTAATTTATTTCTATGTAATGCTTATTTCTCCAATCGTTTATAAGTTTTTATTTTATAGGAAAGAGGAAGATAAGTAGGGTAATGTATTGAAACCTGCTCTAAATCTAAAATTAATTGCTATATTAATTTTTTCTGATTTTTAGAATATGAGAACTTCTTAGCAAACATAGATACCGATGAGGCTCAGTCTTTCCAACATTCTCTGCAAAATGGATTATTTGATTACTTTTTCTCTTTGAATAAGTTTAAAGTGAACATTTTATAGTTCGTTGTGGTTGAGCGTTTTCCTGACATTTGTTCTTTGAATGTCGCCTTGCTTTGTGTTTTAACAGACCCACAACATTTTCCTTGATGTACACAAAATAAATTCAGTCTGTTGACCATGACTTTTCATGTTTTTAATGAAAATAACTCATTGTACAAAATAGCTGTTCTCATGCTTAACAATGTTTTCATTCCTCAGACTTAATGCCCAGTTCAGGCTTTCTTTCGTACTGCTGGAATTCAGCTCCCTTTTCTGCTGCTTACTGATTCTATGAGCTTAGGCAATTTACTCATCTCTGTTTGCCTTAGTTTTTAGTCTATAAACTAGAAATGTAAAACCTCTTCTGAGGATTGACATGACGATTAAATGAATTATCATATGCAAAGTTCTTTGAGTGGTGTCTGTGTGGAGTAAGCCCTCAATAAGCTGCTGTTGCTGCCATTAACTTATCGTCATCTTTGTTATTAGTATGATTATTGTCATATCATTGTCTTTTCTAAGATTATTCAAATTTTGCATAAGGAAACTAATTTAATAGGTTGCTGGCTTTAGCACTAGAAGTTGATGCTTCTGAGATTAATGCTTACTCAGTCAACATATTCCTTCTTTCATCCCAGTTATGAATAGTGAAGGATTTTACATGAATTAGCTATTTTTCAAATATTATCTAACCATCCCTTGGCATGCCTTCTATCCATTTATTACAAGCCATGTATCTTCTCTACATCAGGAATCCAAAAGAAAATGTGTTCTTCAATTCTACACTATTCAATTAAAAAAAAATCAGTTTAAAAAGTTTCTAAGATTGAGGTAACTATTCCCTTTTAATTTATATGCTTGCTTGCTCTCAAAGTTCTACTAATTGTGCAATAGCTGAAAGTTATACATACATATTATCTGCTACTATACATAAAATGTACGTGTGTTCTCTATTTTTTTCTTTAAAATTAACAACTTTGTTAGGAATTTATCATACCTCATTGTACAAATCAGGACACTGATACTTTCAATGATTTACTCAGACACCTGACTACATGTCATTTTCTCTCTAATCTCTAATTTCATATGCAAATCATGACTTACTTCTGAAACAAGCATCTCCCCTCTGTCCTATCTCTCCCTTGCCAAAGATGAGTGGTCTTTCCCTGAATTGTATGCTCAAAATCTTTGCTTTGTGTAAAGAAATTAGGCCTGCAAACATCTGCAGCTCCTGCTGTATTCTTACCCTCAAGCTTCACATCTTTCTTCTGGATGGAAACTAAATGAAGCGCTTTCCATCTGCTTCTTGCAGCAGAACTGTTCATAATAGTCTGCTATTTAGCCAGGCCATCTACACTCAACCATAGTTTTGTCCCCAGCCACTTAGACCATTAACAACTGGTTCCTTGGCTATTTCAATCAGTTGTGTCAATGGGTCATATCACATTTCACTTGCTTAATATTAGCTATTGGCACTAATGCTTTGAGACTATCTGCTTTTGTTTTGGCATGACAGAGAATTGTATTAAGTTAGCTATTTTGACTTTAGTTAAATCCTTCGGACTTTTCTTTGTAGATGCATGTTTTTCCTTTACTCCAGTCGATATTTTGTCTGTGTTTCACAAGAAGCTGCCAATTCCTTTTCCTTTCACAGCTAAAATATTCTTTCCACTTCATTTTCTACATTTTTCCATTCTCAGTCCACCTCTAAAATATAAATAAATCTGTGTATATCCTGCTCACTGGTCCCTGAGCCCAGCTCTGCAGTTTGCTTAAACAAATAGCATTAATAGCATATTTTCACATCTTAATAAAATCTTGCATGTGAAATATATATTCAAATAACTGTGTCCAGCCCTACTTTGAGTGTTTATCTTTCATGAAGTGTATATATACAGAGATTTCTACAGAACTCCATCAGGTACATATAACACTGAGGTGTTTTTTTTCTCCTTTTCAATAAAAACATGGGTTGGTCTGTGAGACTCCCTTTGAAATGCCTTTCTTTCCATTTTGAAACAAATTGTAGAAGTTTTACAGAGAGCATGTTTACACATGTTCTGTGTAAAACTTACAATGTTGGTCTATGTTTTATAAATCTAATTCTCTGTAAGTGTCTTTATAGTACAACCAACAAAATAGTCTTTCACGCTTTTCTTCTGGGGTAATATTTTGTAACGGTAATTTAGCAGTTGTCAGATATTCTTCCAGCCAAATAACTGTGACTATCATGTGTAATGATACCATGAATGTTTTGCTCTGGAATATTAAAGAATGGATTTTTGCAGAGTAAAAATGAACCATCAGACTGCATCCCCCACCCCATAAAGTTTTAGTATTTTGAAACAAGGTTGATTACTTGAGCAAATTTACTTTAAGTGAATGGAAAGATAAAAATAATTGATAATTCCTAAAGAACATTATAATAAATATAATTTATTATATTTTACAGGAAGGGTTTTCAGTGTGGTAAAGAAATATTTGCAAAATAGAAAAAAATATTGAGAATCCATAAAAAAAGAAAAAAAAAACACTGAGAATCTAAAATTCTTAAGCTGAAAGCTTGAAGCCTATACTAGACTAAACACTTTAATTACAAAGCCTTATATATTACATATGACTTTCATCAGCTTGTAGGTGTTAAAATACTTTTGTGAAGAAAGATTATACTCTGAGTAAAAAACTATTAAAATTTAAATTTAGAGATAATGTTTTTGATGGTTAAAGAAAATTTTAGCCTCTTTTTAAAGTTCTTTTAAAACAATATCGTAACCCTAGAATGTAAATTCTTTATTTTTTGTTTTATTAAAGATTTATTTATTCATACAGAATTGGGTGACAGGCCAGAGGTGCAGGGGTGGTGAGAGGCTTCACCAGAGACAGAGGAGCAGAACAGGCAGATAGAAGAAGTACACTGCGGAGGGGAGCAGCAGGCGGTTCAGGAAGAGGTCTGCCACTGGGGATCTAACTTGCACTGAAGAGGCTGTGGCCAGCTTGTAGTGCACCCTCCTAACCCTTTGAGCCAGCAGGGAGGGCCAAATGTAAATTCTTTAAGTTTAGTTTCTTTAAATATCTACAAATGCACTGTAACTTTGTTATGTAAAAATTATTGCCTTGTGTGTCATTAAAAACTAGGCAGCCGGCCCTCCCTGGTGGCGCAGCGGGTTAAAGCACAGCACCAAGAAGCTAAAGCCACTTCCACATGAGTTCGATCCCCGCCTGCCCCGGAGGAGACCACATGGCGAGGCAGACCTCTCCTGACCCGCCCGCTGCTCCCATCAGCAGTGTACTTTGTCGATCTGCCTATTCTGCTCCCCACTCTGTCACTGGTGAATCCTCTCACCCTCCGCATCTCTGGCCTATACCCCAGTTCTGTATGAATAAATAAATAAATCTTTAAAAAAAAAAAATAGGCAGCCTTCCAATCACCAAGCATTTCACACTCAATATTTGTTATATATAACTATGTATAGTGTTCAAATACAAACATTCATATAAATGTCCATTCTACTCAAAAATATAGAAAACGTAAAGAGAATATGTGTTCTATACAAAGATATTACTGTTCTAAGATGTGCTTTCTTTCTAACTTTATTCCAGACTTCTAATATAACCTGGTGGAAAGTGCTTGACTAAACAAGTTTCAAGTTTATCAACAAAATCTGAATAAAACAACTCATTTGAAATTTATTATCAGACTAGAACTTTCATTATTTTCCACATCTGTTGGAAATGGACATGATTTTTTTTTTTTTGCAGTTCTTAATGGTAACAGATTTGCAATGAAAACATTAAAAATAAAATCCACTGGTGATAATGTATTTAATGTATTTATTTTAGATTTCTGATAATTTAAGGACTACCTCATGCAGAATGATTTCATCAAACATTTTACTTTCTTCATGCTGTCTTCAACTTTCTAGCAAGGAGTCTAAATTCCACCATTTTCAGTTTGGAGCAGAAAAGCATTTGTAGAGCTGTGGCTTTTAATTTGACATCTAATTTCAGGTCATTTTCATGTAAATAGGAAACAACTGAGACCTGCTTACGATTTCCATAGGGGGGCATGTTTCCTTCAACTTTATCATCTTTCCTCTGGCAATTTTATTTTTTCTTACATTGAAAGAGCCAATAATTGTTCTCAGCTATTATTTTTTATCTTTATAAAAACTTGTTAGTTACACTTTTTACTACTCAAAAGCTCTCAATTCTTGTATATTTCAATCATATGCTAACCCATTAATGTTTCCGGGCACATCCTTTCCTTAATCTGGGATAGGTTAGGTGGGTCAGGCTTTCTATTTCTTGCTATAATACATTTTCTCCAGGCTTTGTGATCTCTTTTTCTACCTAAAAAAAAAAAAAAAAAACTGGAGGTGAAAATTTGGAATTGTTCCTTTGAATACAACTGATTCCTTATTGAAAGACATATTTGAGTTTTCATTTATAATGCTTTGAACATACTCACACATATTACTGACTGTCTTCACAGTTCCAAATGTAATTTTGTGCCATTTTTTTTCTTATAAACACATTTTATTTCCTTTTTCTGTTTCTCCTTAAACATATATATGCTTAATTCCATGGATTTTATCCTGTGAACAAAAACTTTTGAGTGTGTCTTAATGGGGAGATATTTCATTTTGGTGTACCTCTTTTTAATATGTTGATTTATGAAGAGTAGGTTAAGTAGGAAATTATTTTTGCAGGTAGTTATTTCCACTTGTTCCTCTTCTAGGGGAAAAAAATGAGAAATCTGGTATTCTTTTAAATGTTTGATTTCCTAGATCTTCTGAACACATCATGTTTGATTTTTATCCCTACTATTTAATTTACAGTGGATGAAATAACCCTAATGTTTTTGTTTGTTTGTTTTTTAATGTGCCTTATCTGTTTTCTTAGCAGTGACTCATCTATGCTCTTATATTTTTCTGCCCCAGTGATATGACAAGAACAGTGGAGATTTCTGGGGAAGGAGGACCCTTGGGGATACATGTAGTACCCTTCTTTTCTTCTTTGAGTGGAAGGTAAGATGTTTTTCCTCTATCAGAAGCTCATGAAAATGAAAATCTTGACTTAAGTTCATTTTCCCAAACGTGTTTTAGAAGAGGATTACGTGCATATCTCTGTTGTCCAGATGGAAACTTTAAGATATGCTTCTATTGGCCACTTAGAAACAACAACAAAAAGTAATTTACTGCTAAGATGCAATTGAAAATAAAAAAATTAACCAGTTTCTACATTATAATTAATTATGAAGTACTTTCTTAAAGTATTCTTATTAGGAAGTTTGTAAAATATTCTTAGTGGGATATAATAAACAAAATCCTTGGCAAAGGTTTAAACATATTGTTAGATAATATGCAGCTAAAATTTTTGCTGTTTCAGAATACACCTCTACAAGTGAATATAGTAATTCCAAGTTAATATTTCCTGATAGTCCTAAGGCATAAAGAGCTTAGAATAAATATTCTTATATTAGAATTAGCTACATAAAAAAACTGTGCATGTTTTAATGATGCGGCCATGGTAAGGAAAATAAACAGCAAGCTATTTAATTTTTTTCTGCAATAATCATTTTAAATGATTTGTTACAAGTTATAGAATTTTAGAGACAATATATCATTAAATCTCTGCTGGTAAGTGATCAGGTAGATTGTTTCAGCATTTCTTGAAGTGCATATGTACCTAACTGGTTATAAAGCTTGTTTTTTCATAGAAATTATGGTGTGTGCCTGAGATTTAATGTTAGTACATCATGAATGCTTTACAAAACTCCTATTAGGTATTATGTCATTTTTCAGTAAAATGACTGCCTTTAGAACATGATTGATAATGACAAGGGCTACCAGAAACTTAAAAGGAAATCAGTTTCTCACTGATATTAACTTGCTAAATTTACTTACTTCAATTAAATGAATCTTTGAGAAGACAGAAAGCCTCATTTTAGTTTAGGAGATCAAAGACCAGAAAAGTTCGTTGATTCTCTCAGAATCACATAAAATCCAGGTTTCCTGACTGGCCCTGATTTCATGGTTCTTTCTAAAACAAAAAGTTCCCAAAGGTGATATAATATTAATTTATTGGTTCTGAATATTTATTCAATTCAGTCTGCCTTATAGTGGGAAGAACAGGTTTAGTGATGATATTTTGGTTGGCATCTTTTTTAGCAGGTAGCCATCTGCTACCTGTAATTGCAAAGTCATCACCATTTTTTTGCAAATAACATCTGATGCCAAGTTTTTGCTGAAATGAATCCTCCCTAAAAGGCATTGTGCTGAAAAGCTAGTGGCTCTTATTGTCTCATTTCCTGTGTGCGTTAATAAGCGTGTTTATAAATGTTATGGGTTACAGCACAGGACAAGCTGAGGTGGTTTTTGATAGACAGGGTGAGTATTTACCCAGTTGTCACAAGAAATTCTAATGGCTTTTGGCAGAAGTGCACTGATAGAGCTTTGTGAAATATCACAGCGGTTAAATTACCAGCCCTTTAGCTTAATGAAGGTAGAATAGAACTTAAGATCATCCCAATTTCCAAAACATGAAGAAATATACAATGTGACAGTCAGCAGACTTCATTTTCAATAGTTTGGAAAACAGGTTGACCCTACAGACAAGAATTCACCTTCTCTGTTCAAATGAGGAGAACACAGTGTAATTTAGTGATTTCCTCCAATCTCCTTCCTGGCTCTGATTTCTGGGATAAACCTGGTATAATCATGGAAGGCATGTTGGCCTTAGAGCACTCTTGAATCTCAGTGTTCTTTCTTCTTCTTCTTTTTTTTTTTTTTTCATAAGCCTGCACAAGTTCCTAATTCCACCTCTTGTAAGTTGTTAATATCATGGCTGCGGGGATTAAATGACATTAAAAATGTGAAAGCTCCCTGTAAAACGCATGACATATGGATGTGTAAATTATCCATATTATTATGATTTGGGCTTAAACAAAAAAAAAGCCTGGTTCAGAAATGAAGTTTTATAAGTTCATGGTGAAATATTCAATAACTTGGTGAAATAGTTGCATAATTTTCTTTCCTATACACTAGTATTATAGAAAGGAAATTTGATTAAAAAACATAAAAAAATAATATGGAAGTGGAGACATGAGCCAATAAAAGTTAAGAAGTAATGAGTACAGGCTGAAACAGCACACTTAACTCAACCCATGTGTCTAGATGCAACTGAGTAGTGAGCGTGTCAGACAAGTGTCTGACTTCATAACGCCATCTGGTTTCACTGTGTGAGCCGGGCAGTGAGAGTGCGGTAAGGTCATAATGGTATACTTAGTTCTTAATTTCCTCTCATTTATTGGTTTGTGTCATTATTTTAAATTAGAGTTTACATTTAATTCTTTACTAAGACTACTGTAATTGGCTTTGCCTTCCACTTTTTCCTTTTTTCTTTTAGAAAAATACTGCCACACCTGTTGTTGAATAAGAAACCTAATCTAAGGTAGCACACCCAGTACAATGCAGTGGCTGCTGTACAAGATTGAGCCTTTTGTGGATTCATTAGACACTGCAGCACTGGGTGCCAAAGGCTCAGATTTGATAACAGAGTAAAAAATGACAAATATATACACACACACACAAAAAAAAAAAAAAACAAAAAGAGTCCCCGCAAGTAAAGAGCAACATCATTTCATTTTTTTAATTGCTTTTTTAGAATCAAAAGCAAGAAATCTGGTTTTCAGTATCTAGAGACTGCATGTCGTTCCTTGGTTTGATAGTAAAGACAGCTAAACGTGAGCGAAATGAAGGGGTGGGTGCAGACTGACAGGAATGTGAGAAGAGAACTGGTTTGGACAGAAATGTTGAGGGAGCAGAAGGACAGAGGTGGAGTGAACAGCAGAGAGCAGAAGGGGCCAGGAGAGCATAGACTCTGGTTTCAGTTGTTGTCAGAAGAGTAAGAAGCCATTGTGACCCCTCTTGTTTTGAGGGGTGGGGGATTTCAGCATTGTTTATCACTGCTCCTGCATCCAAATTAACTGGCTTGCCTGACCCCAAACAAGAGAGCTACCCCAATCTTCCAGTTTGGAGCAAAGAAGCAAAGGTGAGATTCTTTTGTGGGTCTCCTCATACTGTCTGGATGAAATCAAAGTGGAGAAAGCCATCCTTTCTATGGGACAGGGAGGCAGGAGTAGGTTGTTTCCAGGGACCTAACTAATAAAATCAGTCACTTTTACATTCTACTAAAATTACCTCTGACACATGAGTTTTACAGTTGAGCTTATTCTGTCAATAAATTTTTCATGGAAAGTTAGGTTATTTAGATCAGTGAGGCTCACATAGCATACTCCAGCTGTAATATGCCAGCTAAATTGTAACCCAGTGGCCTGAAAGAATTAATTCATCTCCCAAAATGTGAAATTAAATCCTAGGGAGTAACATTACATGACTGATGATGTACTGAATTAAATTAAAGGAAGACTTGAATGCTTGTTAAAAAAAATATCGCTTACATAAACTAGTTTATAACCACATGTGAGCCTCTTAATGGATCACATTATTGTGAATCCACCATAACAAAAATCCAAAATGTGAACTAGACAAGGGTTGTTTAATTTAAGAAAGAAACACTATTTTGTTCTAGCTCTTTTCTGGTTTTGCGTGTCAAATAATTCAATTTTTAATATTATGTTACAAGATTAAGGTATTAGTGCCTTAAAAATATTCCTTTGAGTCCCCGATCTTTTATCAAACAGTGACTCTGGCCCCTTTTCTCATCCATTCAGAATGTGTGATTTACTCACCTGCTGAAATGAGGCGATAAAGCACAGCCCCTCTCAACTCACGGGTCCCCCTGGCCCTGCACAGCCCCTCTCAACTCACGGGTCCCCCTGACCCTGCGCTTAGGCAGCCTGACTATTCGCTGTTGTCTCTCCTTCATCAGCATACTGGATTCATTTAACTTTTTTGAAGCAGAGATCTAAATATCACCACCCGTGCCTCTCCTCTTACAGTCCTGAGATGACACGAGCTCATTAGAGGAACTGAGGGCTTGGAGAAAGAGGCTCCACTTTGTGGCTGTGCCAAACAGGAAGGTGTTTTTTCCCCGTGCTTGCTTTAGAGATTGCCCTTTTCTGTGGTGGGCCCCATTATTCACACACAAAATGTGCTCATGTTTTATTTAGAGTTGAGATTTAAAGAGACGTGTCATCTCACGCAAGATGCCCTTACCAAAAGAAATGACAAACTAAAACAAAAAACAAGAGGAAGGGGCAGCTTCTCCACACCCAGCAGGCTGCTCTTGGAGACAGACACCTATTTTTCTTACTCTGGGACATGTGGAGACCCTCACATGTCCCAAGATAGGGAAGCCCTCCAAGAAGAAGTAGCCACGCTGTATTCAATTTTAATTTCTCTCTTGTTTTCGTTTAGACATTACTAGTGTGTAATAGAGAAACACACACTTAACAATTTAACTCCTTATTCTTATTGCTGTAATCAGTCTTCTTTCTCCTTTCGTTCTCCAACTCCCTCCCCTCCTGACCCTAAGCCACAGCCTCAAAACACCACTAGCCTCTCTAAATCTGGACCCTTCCTGGTTGAAGTTTCATAGAACTACCCCAAAGCTTCCTCCGCCTTCTTCATGACTGTCTTGTGCTCATATGAAGTGGCTGGGCTAGGGGTGCTACTCTAGCCTCATTAGATGAAGTGCATTGTCAAGTGGACTCTTTGGGTGGCTCTGGCTCCCCATCTACGGTTAGCTCCTTGTAGGAGCTAGCACAGGCTTGACTCACCCAGACATATGGGCCCCCCACACCCGTGGCCATGCCATCTCCCATCCAAATTCTACTCAATCTTCTAATATAAATTGTATCCCACTTACTCTTCAAATCCTCCTAGGGAGACTCTAGACTTTTGAAATTTTATTTTATTTTTAAAAGATTTATTTATTTATGCATATAAGAACTAGGGTATAGGCCAGAGGTGTGAAAGGTGAGAGGATCCACCAGTGACAGAGCAGGGAGCAGAACAGGCAGATCGACGTAGTACACTGCTGAGGGGAGCAGCGGGCGAGAAAGGAGAAGTCTACCGCTCCCAGTGGATCACCTCCCTGGCGAGGGATAGAACTCATGCTACAGTGGCTTCAGATAGCTTTATAGTCCTGTGTTTTAACCCATCATGCACCATGTGGGGCCCAAAATTTTGAAATTTTGAACCTTTTCCTGGTTCATACCTCTCTATCCCAAACATTCAGAGAACACTCAACGTTGTTCATTCAGTGACTCTAACAAATGGACTCAAGTATATTCTATATAGAGTAATGCGATCTGTACTTAAATGTTTGTGTACTTCTTAAAGCAGAAATTATTGGGACAGGTAGTAAGACTGCAAAAATCATACAGTGAATGCATTATGCTCTCTCATTGCTAAACTTCAAGACACCCCCTTGCCCTAACTCAAGCTTCACTTCTACAAAGCACAAGTCCTTTGTGTGCTCAACTACACTGAGCTGCCTTGTCCCTTTCTAAGTTTACTGCAGTCAAGAGAAATGAGATTGCAGATGAATGTACTGGTGTTTGTGTATATTTGTCTTAAAGGAATTTTTTTTCTTTTAGTGAATTGTTTTAGTTTTAACTAAGCATTTCAATAACAGTTGACTGAATAGAAAGCATAATATTTCTTCATAAGTAGAAGTCAATACTTATTTATGAATAATTACAAGTAGAGAAATAATTAATACATTATCATCCAGTAATTTTATTTCAACCAAAATTTTGCATTTAGGATTCTGGGACTCTTCATCCGTGGCATTGAAGAAAACAGCAGGTCCAAGCAGGAGGGTCTGTTTCACGAAAATGAATGTATTATAAAAATCAACAATGTGGACCTCACAGATAAAACCTTTGCTCAGTAAGCATTTTCTTTATTGTTTCGATTGCTTTATTGATCCCTAGAATGCTTGTAATCATTACGGAGCTCATTATGATCAAAATTATAGGCAGAATTTCAGGTCAGTTCCCTTTGAATGACCCCAGGACATTCATTCTCAAAGGCATCTGGTGTCTTAGCATTCTCAGAGGTGGCCGCATGTGTCTCCCCACCCCACCCTGAGAATGTAAAGCACAGAACACAGCAGCCTTCTGCCTGCTGCTTTTCTGGGGCATCAATAGATAGGTTTGTTTTTCTTGGGATACGGGTCACCTAGACTGCTATTTAATGACTCCCTTCACAGACCATTAGCTCGACTTATTAATTAACAATATTTCTTAAAATAAATATCTGTGAGAGATGTCTGTGAGGACTGATAGAAACAAGTGAAAAAAAAATTAAAGTATACCCCCTCAATAATTCATTTCTTTCCCATGAAATTATTCCAAATATAGGTTCTTATATTTGATGGTCAACGTGTGAAGCCATCTGGTGCATATTTTTAATGGCATGCTGACATATAAAATAAGTACTAATACTTCTCAATAATGATCATCACCAGCCTCTCTTGTTTCTAACTAAAACAAGTCACTTTATGTCTTCTCTGTGGCTGGTAGTTGTCACTATCGGTGTTTTTATGGAAGACACTGCATGGATTATAGATAGAGGCAGTGCACACGGGTTGTTTAAGTGTGGAAATACATGAAGCCATGAGAGTTCCTTTCTTAGAATAATACATATTAGACAAAATATTTTTAGTATCACTGTGCTTTTTACATGTACATGGAACATCTTATTACCTCTTGTTTATTGTGGTGGAAACTGAGAACATTTAGCTTATGTTAATGTAGCATACAGGTAGGATGGAGTTGGAATTGGCCCCAAGTCAAGGAACTGACCACAGAAGTGGGGTTATGTATATGGTGTCTTCTCTCTTATTTCCTGGAATGTGCAGTAATAAGCATTTGGGGAAGGGAAGGAGGCTCAGCAGTCATAACTGTTTGTTATTTGATTTGATTGCTAATAACAAAAAACTGACAGAAAGGCACCTTAGTCAAGATTAAACTTCACTCTTCCAAAGGATTAGTGAGTGCAGAGTTGCAGGCCAGACCTGGGAGGGCAATTCCATAGTCAGCAGCAAGACAGCCATCTTTCCTCCCTCTGCATTATAGTCCTACTTAGTTGACTACTGTCTTTTCATTGTATCATCGTCACAAGATGGCAAACAGAGTGCAGTTCCTCTTTCTGAGTTTTAAGAAATTGGTAAGAAATACAGGAGATAAAAAGAGTTACTGGTCCTCAGAAAAATATCTCTTCCTTAACCCCTCCACTTACATCTCATTTTGACAAGACAGGCTGGGGCAGGTAGTTGTTTTTACCTACTCATATAGCAGAAAGAGGAAGAGAAAAAAGCTAGCAAGAAAATTGAAGATGAACACAAAGTGCTAAGACAAAAAAAAAAAAAGTTAAAAATACAGGATCTGTATTATAGAATTACAGGGATGAGAATCGGATGGACCATTCACTGTGACAGTTCACACAACCAAGGCACCTACCATGTATCTCCATGAGGAAAGGCTCATGTCAAAAATGAATTTTTGAAACACAATTCACTTTAGATATGACCTATACTTTAGAGCAAAACATAAGAAGGAAATTAATTGGTAAACTAAATCATGAAAGCAAATGATTTTTATCTAAATTAAAGCATATTTTTACATGTCAGCATTCACTTTGAATTGATTTTCAGATTTAGAGCTATTTAAAAACAATAGCTGAAGAGATGTGAATGTATACGTCTGAATCATATTAGCTATCACATACCAATGTAACTTAATATAAAAATCATACAATTTGAAAAATAGCTGTTGGTTAGTCTTTTTGAAGCTCAATTTCCTCAGTTTGCAAAATGAGAGTCAACTGTACTCATCTAACATGATTTTTCAGAAGATTAAGTGAGAGAAGTATGCAGTTCATAGTGCATGTGTCTCCCAGTGCAGGGACACCTAGCAGATAGGTAGGAAGTGAAACCAGTATTCGGCTGACAATGTCATATTATCACAAGGATAACATCTTTGTGTATGCAAACCCCATTGCATGGGGGCAACTTTAGATGTGAGCCAGAATTCAGTGTCTTTCCTAACTCTTTCAAGGGCTCAAGATGTCTTTCGGCAGGCGATGAGATCTCCAAGTGTCCTCCTCTGTGTGCTTCCACCTCAAAACCGTGAACAGTATGAAAAGTCAGTCATTGCACCACTTAGCATTTTTGGTAGCTGTGATGGTGCTTTGAAAGCAAAAGTGCCACCTTCCACCCAGGGAAAATCCAGACTAAAGACAGGAAGTCTCACAGAAGCGAGAAGTCCTGAAGAAGATGCACCAAATTCACTGCAGCAAAGCAAGAGCCCCCGAGTGCCAAGAGTGCCTAGAAAGCCACCATCTCCCTCACTCTCTCCTCTCATGGGATTTGGCAGTAAGAAAAGTGCGAAGAAAATTAAGATTGACCTAAAGAAAGGTAATTAGTGAATTATGCTTAATAACATTCTATTATTGAAACATGGAAAATTGGTTAAGAGAAATGCATTAAGGCTAATTTTGTTAATTCTATCTTCATTTAATTGTATCAAAGAGTAGATGTAAGTGTACACCTAGGTAACTGAAATTTCAAGAAATTATAGTACTTTCTGAGTTTTTCCTTCTGGGAAGTATAGCTTTTTGAAATAGGAAGATAATATGTACATGTTGTGGAATCAAGAGAATCATTGCAAAACTTGACGGAAACAGATAAATATGATATGAGAACTTAATAGGCTTAATAGGCATGAAAATTCAGATGTCGCTGTTATGAGGAATAATTTTCGAGGCATCATTTAGATGAAGTCCAAGAATCATTTTTTTCTCATCTTTTAAAAATTTGATGTCAGCAAAGTTTTGCTCCTCTGAAACGAAGTATGTAATAATTATTAATTTAACTTATTTAATATTACAATTTCTCAAAGTGTTTTTAATTTCAAGAGTATGCGTAACTTCCCTCATCCTTTTCAATGTTTCTATCTATTGCAATCACATATCAATGAAATTAGATCTTGTGTATATATGTATATTTATGCAGTATTATGCATACACATAAATTCTGTGGTTTTGTGTTTTGTAACATCTGACAATTACTTCCCACACTCCAATCTCCTGTATTGCTATGTAATTTTTAATGCTCAATTCAAAGACAAATAATCACAGATTACTGTCTGAACTAACAAAGTCTTCTATGGCTTTGATCCAACGTAGCCTTGACATATCTATTAGCACATATCAAAAGCAAGTAATAGGTACCTTTAATCTGGTATAGAGAGTATTCTAGAAAGCTCTTCTGGTCAAGTTTTCACCCCCCTATAAGAATTCTATTTTGGAAATAAAATTAATTGTCTAGGATTCACAGATAATCAGGTATGCTTAGCACTTAGGTTTTTCATTTAACTGTATCAGTGGTAGTTTTTTGGTATGAATTATCCAGCTGTTTATATGACAAATGTTTGAGTGCTCAGGTGATACATGAGTGAATCATACTATGTGACCTTAAAAGTACATTAGACATCCCCAAAATTGATGACTGGATCAAGAAGATGTGGTATATATACATGATGGAATATTACTCAGCAATCGAAAAAGATAAACGCATGCCATTTGCGGCAATATAGATGGAACTGGGAAAAAAAAATCATGCTTCATGAAATAAGCCAGAAAGAAAAGGAAAAATACCAGATGATTTCACTCATGGCAGCAATGTAAGGGAACAGGAGAAAAAAAAATTATATATATATAGAGAGAGAAAATTTAATAAAGTGAAAAAGAACATCAGCTAACAACTACAGATCAGAGACATTCTATGGGGGGAAGAGAGGGGAATAAGACCAAAATGTGGGCGGGAATAGCATGGGACTATGGTGATGGCACATGGGTGAAGTAGTGATGGGAAGTTCATGGGGATTACAACTGAAATGAAATAATGTACAAAATGAAGAAAAATAGTGTAAAAAATTTATAAAATAAATGCATTTGAAATCTTTGAATGCAAAAATAATATTTTCTAATAGTATTTTGTATCATTGTGTGTAATATAATACCAACTACTTGGGAATGATTAATCTGACAGCAACTAGAGATCCAGAAATAGAAACCAAACAACAGAAGATGAGTAAATGATATACTTCATCTGTCTGCATATAACATGTGCCTTCATAGGCAACTGGGTGTGGGAGGGAAGAGAAAGAGAAATTTTAGTTATTGCTGAATTTCTCAACCATGGTGCCTCACACAATGGAAATACATTTCTAGAAAGTACAACTTTTAAGTTAGTGAGTATATGTGACAAAGCTCGAATCTGGATTGGTGAAGAAGTTCTTAACAAAATTTGAGTGGTGGGGAAAGTATGTATATGGTGATACTTAGGACACTGAAGTGGGAAAGATTATTGTCAAACATAAACATTTAGGTGTCTTTATAGGGGTTTGAGTGTTGGAGCCAAAGAGGGAAAATTGTTTCAGAATGGACCCCTATTGAACATATATAGATATATATGTGGGACAAAATGGGTAAGAAAGAGATAGTTATGATGTAATCAAAGAAGTAGGAAAATAACCAGAAAGAAGACATGAAAGCCAAGAACATGACTGGTGGTAAGTGTGGAAGCTATAGAAGGGGAAAGACCAAGAAGAGAAAGAATTACTGAATATGGTCATAGGTAGATTGCTGATGATGAAAGATTGAAGAAGAAGGATGACTGAGCTCTATGGATTCATGAGGGTAGATAAATCTGATAGAGCAATTATGTAGAATGGACAATATGTTGGAAAATAAAAACTGCAAATGCAAGAGCTGAAGGGCAGAAACAATGTGGTTGAGTGAGCAACTGAGAGTTGCAGCTTATAAAGAAATGAGGCATAAGTAGAGGAGGAAGCCACAGGTTCAGCAGCTGATTGGATGCCTGCAAAATTCATGTCAGATGGCATTTTGCTTCTCCAGAAAGTATGAAGTGAGGTTGTGGTTTCCTGAGAATTTAGTCTCCCTAGCATGTGCATGACATTTGACATCTATTCGAGGAGTTAATAAGTGAAAGTGTTACACAACTGTATGGAGCTACACTTACTCTGATACCATCAGGGCCTGTCAGGAGCAATAATCTGTATTTGAAACTGGAAAACTGAAGCATATTTAAAGATATGTTGGAATGTAAATATTTCACTTATTCTTTATTAGTCTAAATTAGCTAGATTTCACTTTAAGATGGATTATAGTATTATACCTGCTTAAAGTGACGGTGTGTGTTTCTTATACACTAGGTCCTGAAGGACTTGGTTTCACTGTGGTTACCAGAGATTCTTCCATCCATGGTCCTGGTCCCATTTTTGTAAAAAACATTTTACCAAAGGGAGCAGCAATAAAAGATGGCCGCCTGCAGTCAGGTGACAGAATTTTGGAGGTAAGAATTGAAATTAATTTCTTCAATCAAATGTTTATTGGTATTTGAATAAGTATATCAACATATGTTAAAATTTGAATATAAATATTAAAAAAATATTACTTCTAGACCAATAAGCGCATCAATTATAAAAACTGCAGAACAACTGGATGTGAAAGTTCCTAATATAGGACAGTGATTAGGGATAAGTAATAATAAGAAATTTTCCCTTTTTTCTTACTTCCACCTCTTGGGGCCCTCGAGGGATCTGGTTCAAATCTAAAAGTTAAACATAAAAATCAGTTAGTGCTAAGAATTTCAAAGTCATGCTGAAGTCCTTCTACTAGTTTCTTTAAACTTCTCGCAAAGATAGGCCAGTCTTCCTCAAATTGATTTGTGCCTGTAGAGATATATTTAGGACACACAAAACAACAGAACTTGTTGTTAGTTCCTTTTTTCATTCACTGTCAATGAGCACATCATCTTATTGGCTAAATATATACTGACAACTTTCAAGAAATCATCTTCATTGAAAATGGCCATTTCCATCTAATTTCTCAGGACGTGAATGCAACATTACAGCTTTTTGTGTAGTTTTAGATCAGAAAAGATGACTCCACATTAAAAATTCCTATAAGTTAAGATAATATGGTCACCATTATTTTCTAAAAATGGAGGACAAGAGAATTATAGCAAGTAATTTTGTTTGCAGAGGAATATGTCATGTGCTAATGTCCATTTTTGCTTTTTGTATTAGACAGAAAATGATACCAGTTAAGCATACGAAAGCTGCTTCCTTCCTATTTGAGTAATCATTCTCTTATATATTAGTTTGATTTCCCCTCATAAGAGAGAGCCATCAGAACAGAGGAGGGAATAACACAAGGGACTGTAATGATGGAGCATGGGTGGTTCGGTGAGGGGAGAACTACAGATATTTCACCGGAGGGGAGAAACAAAATACTGTACAGAAATTAAAAATGATATAAGAAAACAAATAAATAAATTTAATAATAGTTTAAAAAGATTGTGGAATTAAAAAAAAAAAAACTGCTGGTATAAACTCCTGGCCATCCAGCAACATAATAATGACAGCTTTTTTTTTTTTTTTTAAGATTTATTTATGCATACAGAGCTGGGGTACAGGCCAGAGGTGCAGCGGCAGTGAGAAGATTCACCAGAGACAGAGTAGGGAGCAGAACAGGCAGATCAGCAGAGTATACTGCTGAGGGGAGCAGCAGGCAGGTCAGGAGAGGTCTGACATGCCATATGGGTCACCTCCAGACTGGGGATCAAACTTGCACTGAAGCGGCTGCAGGTAGCTTGAGTGCTTCGTCCTAATCTATTGCACCACCAGGGAGAGCCTGACAGCTGGTTTTATTGGTATTTTTAATATGGTAGGTTTGGCTCAAGATTTCAGTTTTCTAGAACTTCACTGATTGCAAGAGCCCATTTGCTACATATTTTCAGAAGCCCTCTAGATAGAGGAAGATGGAGGACAAGTGTGCTGGTAACCATTCACGTGATTGTCTCCATTAGGTGAATGGCAGAGATGTCACAGGTCGAACTCAGGAGGAACTTGTGGCCATGCTGAGGAGCACTAAGCAGGGAGAGACAGCATCACTGGTCATCGCCCGCCAAGAAGGAAGTTTTCTGCCCCGGGAGCTGGTAATATACAGATCATTGTCTCATTCAGTTTCCAATGTAGAGCTCAATATACTTAGTGAATTTATGAACTCTGAGAAGTGAGTTTTAAACCTCAGGCTCTACTTGCAGCAAAAATTGAATCACAGCAAGGAAAGCTGGCCCCATTGGGTGTCTCAGCTTAGGATGTTCATTTGATGCAGCTTGTGTTCGTACAAACAATAATTAGGTTCGTAAATCCAAATTCTCTTTTAAGAAAAAATTTAATAATATTCACCTAAATAAAACAGACGTGAGTATGTGCTAAGTTCTAGGCAAAACACAGCTAAAATGTTCACGGTCCTTCCTTTAAACAGCTTGCTTTCTAAAAGGACACAAAAGTACAATTAATTATTCAAAATGGTGAATATTCAGAAAGAGAACTGCAGAGAGCACTAACACACAGCAAGAGAAGTTCGGCTAGGGTGATTTGGTGGTTGTGCTACAGTGGCAATACCTGATGGGGCATCCTAATAAATTATTAATACATCAATGAATTATTAAATAAATTAATTTAAAAAATGAATAGAGGAAACATAAAAAGGTGAATAGAAATTTTACTAAAGGCAACTGAAAGTTACAATGAATCTACAGAAAAGTCTTAGCTTAAGAAAATTTAATTACATAGAAGACTGATTAATTTTTTTGAAAAAAAAAAAGATCCTTTGACTAGAAACTAACCTAGAAATCTTTCCTGAACTGAATGTCAAGGATTTATGGAAAATTAGTGATACTACTTTTTACCAATGTCCTATTTGTTACAAAATAAGTTAGGTACTGTACTACCATACATATTAGATAATAACTGGATAGTTCCTGAATTTAATATAACAAGTACCTTAAGTGGTCTCTGTGAAGAATTGATAATAACATGATAAAATAATCTTAGTCAATTGTTAAGCTAAAGCATAGTGTATCAAATTATACATACAGGATGATCAAATTACATCTAAAACAAATTTTTAAAAAGAACTAAAAGGAGAAACTTGGGAATATGAAAATTTTCTATTTTTTTCCACAATGAACACCTTTATTTTATAATTGAAAATATTTAAGAGTACTACAAATATTTATAAATTCCTTAGAATAACTTTAATGTCTGCAACTATGAGGAATAGATGTTATTAAATAAGTTTTAATTACCCCCCCCTTTTTTTTAACTTGCTTTGAACCTATGTAAGAAATTATCAAGGCACATATAAGTAATATCATAAGTTCCCACAGTTAGATTATCTGAACAGTGAGGGCTAATTGAGAAAATTAAGGTTAGCTAAAAAAAAAAAAGAACTTGAGACACATGATAATTATTAAATCTGTAGAGTTATTGTATGGATTGGAATGTAGAATTAATCTATTTCTCCAGATAGTTTATATCCATTAATGTACCTATATATTAATTTGATAAATAGTTTACCGAGAATATGTTGTGTACTTCAATTGGAAGTTCTAGGGTTGAAAAATAGTTTAGACTGATTTGATTTATTCCCTTCCCTTGTTGAGGTATATGAAAATAAGTAGTTGGAAGGGATACTGTTACAAGAACATTTTGCCATTGGAGTTATCCAAGAAGGAAATGGGTTATTTAAAATATCAAAACAGAGCTTGCCTCATCATCTGTCAAAAGATGTAGAAGTAAAAAATTCTCACTTGATAAGGTGATGAGAGTAGATAACCTCCAAGATAGCTATTGAGTATTTTATTTTGTTAGATGCATTTATATTTATATTTGAACATACAACTGACTCAACTCAGTCATATTAATGCTTCTTACTTACTGGTCAAAAGCCCATCTTCCCTCCATGTTTCTGGCAAGGATTTCTTTTCCATCTTCCTTCTCTTCCCTATCATCTTATCCATTTTTTCACTTGACCTATTTTTATGATTCGGGAAGATTCATAAAAGAGGAAAGAGTGGTATGAACCGTGAAGATTACATTCCCGGACACTTTTCCTTGATTTGAACCCTCCATTTGTAGTTATTTGGAATGCAAAATCTTGATCTTTTCTCACACATTCTCTTACCCTTATTTTTCTTAACAGCAAAATGCTGATAAAATTTGGATTCTAAATATTTTTTCTGTAAAGTACAATTGAATTTCTCCTTCAATTCTTTCTTTGTGAAGACCTTGATCTTACTCTCTAAGAGCTAATATAGAAAGGAACAATAAAAAGGAGTCACCGTGTATATAGAAAGGGGAACCCTTTCACTCCTTGGCCAATTCTTTACTTGCCAGAGGTTAAAACTCTTGTTCAAGAATAAGAGAAAAAGTAAAGAACTTTTCACTGTATTCTGTTGAAATCTGGGCATGGATGGGGAAAAATGCTGTATGGAAAGATTTTATTCTTATGCTTGCATGCAAAAGAATGCATTAACAGACAATTCACAGACATCTGGAAGTTATTAAATGGAATATTAGAATACTTGGACTAAAGAGAATGGAAAGAATCTATGAATTCAGTTATAAGTTTGAAGTTGAAAAAATAAGACAGCCAATGTGATTGAGTAACCTGGAACTAGGACCTAGGTTTTGTAGCACTTGGTATTGTATCTGGCATTTCACTCTCTGTACTTAGCTTCTAATACATATACCACTTACTGTGTGAGCTAGAGAAGGTCACAAAATCATTTCGAGGCTCAGTGTCCTAATGTATATCATAAAACAGTTGTGAAAATTAAAAAAAAAATAATGCATGCAAAGCTATTAGCATATTTTCTGATCAAGTGTAAGTGCTCAGTAGGTGTTAGCTATAATTATTTAACCTGCTATATTACCACTGTGGAGCTACTATAAACACAATACTGTATTGTAGATACATTATGGCATAAATAGATTTATGCAGGCTTGCTGGAGATTAACTACTATTTTGAACATTGTTTTCTTGTTTATTATTTCTTCTTTCTTATTTTAAAATGGTCCTGGCATCCAAGTTGTTTTAACCAATCAAATAGATATTGGATAACCTGTATATATTATTTCTCTGTCATTTAATAAAATTTAGTAAAATTTGATTTCTGTCCCAGAAAGTGACATCACAGGCTAAGCCAACCAAAGAGCATATTAAATTAATTTTAACACAGTGACCTTCTGAATGCAAGTAAATCATTTTTCCTCATTGTTTTTAGCTTTATACAAAATTTGGAAATCATGTGGTTAGAATCCATTCTCTTATTATTCTCTGGTAAATAGTCTAAACCCTAAAAGTTATTTGTCTTCTCGCTATCCAAATATGTGGAATATTCTTTGTAACCATGGCAAAGTAAGTACCATTGGTCAAGGCTTATGAGTCCCTAAATCATGTGTGGACCCATAATCTATGTTTTGGAGAAATAAGAAATTATATTCTGGTTCCAGCCCCAGTGCTACGTTAAGTACTAAGTAGCAAGATCCACATAGGAAATTTAAAGAGAAGTCATGTTTGGCATGTGTGGTATTATTTCAGTGGGAATTACTTCATAGTGTGACATGCATTAGACTAGTTGAAAGAGCAATATGAAGAACAGTGTGCCCTGTGATACATCTTTGTATTTTTGTTTCAAAAAACTGAAGGAGGTATCACTTTGGTCTCTTCTCCCTTATCATGATGGATGTACACACTTGACTTTCCATTGAAAATCTGGCAGGATGAAGGAAGGACAGCATTTCCTGCTTTTGTCTTATTCTATCTCCTTTGATGAAACAAACTGTGTTTATTGTTTTCCTACTCTGAGAAAGTCTCCGCTCCTTCTGTTAAGCCTTGCTATTTCACCAGCTCAATACCCCCTCTTAACCGTACTGCTCTGCCTGTTTTGTGACAGTTAAATCTTCCTTACATCCTTGTTATCATAAGCTTCTGATTGAGCCTTAACACAGCCAAGGGAACATGTGGTCAGCAGTTATACAGGAAGTCCTGATATAGGCTGGTCTCTCGGATGTGACCCTCTGTTATGCCAAAGACCTTTAGTATCCATTTCCTGGTCATGTCTCTCGACCTGCCACAGAAGAGTGCTTTGCTGAATTCTTCTCCTTGCTGGTCCTTGTTCTTCCTGGGCAATTGGTTAGTGTCACAAATGCAGTAGCATGTTTAGCCTACCCTTGTTCCATCTGTGGCAGGCTGGCTTGAAAATCAATAGAGGAATTTATGTAATAACACCACAATTATTTTGCTCGTTCTAGTGTCATAAAAGAATTGTGTTTCAAAAGTAATCTTTCCAGAATCCTTGTCTAGAAGATACTTTGATGTCCTCACCCCTGACCAAGTAAGAGTTTGTTAGAGAGATATTCACATAAGGAAGATTTTTGCAGAAGAAACTTTGAGGCTAGTGTTGGTAATAGAATTGGAAGGTGAAATTGCTGTGTCTGCCTCTGTACTTGGAATGAAAACTACGTTAGTTCATCAGTGGTTTATCTGATCTGTCCTGTGAGGGAATGGGCCTACTAGTTCCTTTTCATCCCTGGCATCTGAATTTTTTTTTTTTTTTTAAGGATTTAGTTACTTATGCATGCAGGACTGGGGTGCAGGCCAGAGGTGCAGAGTTGATAAGTGGATTCACCAGAGACAGAGTGGAGAGCAGAACAAGCAGATCGACAAAGTACACTGTGGGGAGCAGCAGGTGTGTCAGGAGAGGTCTGCGGCACTTACACTGAAGCAGCTGCGGCTCGCCTGCAATGCTGAGCTATATTACCCATTGTGCCACCAGGGCCCTGAAATTACTTTTTTTCTTATGCATAGTATCATATAAAGCTATCTTCCTGTTTAGGAAAGAGCCTGAAAAACTAAAGGTTTTTAAGTTATTTCATGCCTTTGTTTTTAAGAGCTTCAGAGACAGACAGATGCTGTGTTATTTGCCATGTATGTGCCTGTGTGTCTCTCTCTTCTTTTACTGGGGAGAAAGGAATATTCTGTCATTTCTTTGTTAACCTCTTTAATGTTTCATTCTCTGACCTCCTGCCTTATCTTTAAATTGTCCTGAAAATCACAGCAACCCCTGGTGGGTAAAATGAGCTG